AGACATAGGTAAATTAGTTCATTACAATGTTTGCTAAGCTAGACATAGGTAAATTAGTTCATTGCAATGTTTGTTAAGTTCGACATGAACACTGCACTGGTTATGTCTTGCAAGAGTTGATGAAAAAAGTCCCAGAAAAAAGCTCTTAAATCGGCGTCCGTGCCGCTCGTTATCAGATAGGCTTATCTATCCACCCATATATGGGCGCCTAGCCAGCCTAATTAAGCCCATATTAAGTGCCCTATTGACCACTAATTAGGTTGATGTAGGGATGAGTTCCTGCAGATCAATGGCCTGCGATAACACGCCTTATATTTTGCCCAGTTCTAGTTAATATTTTATACCAAATTATTATCTGAATACAAATAATTAATCTATAATTCAGATTCATTAGTTGCAGACTGAATGTCATTCGTTTAAATCCTTGGAATTATAATTGAAATCAAGTGCTCATTAATTAATATACAATTGGTTGCTGTATGGTGTATTGGTTAAATTATTAGTAAATAAATAAAGTTTGAGTGGGATTTCCATTTAATCAAGTAAGGCTAAAAAAATCAGTCGTCTTTCAGAGCTTGTCTAAAATGAAACTTTTCTAATACATCAATTAATTTCAGTATATCAAAAGAATTTAAATACCTTCCTGAAGCAAGCTTCAAAATGATTTTAGAATGAAAAAAACGACTTTATAACGTGAATTAAAGGAGATGAAATTAAGAAACTGCAAGAAACTGCAAGACCCTAGACATTTACCCCAGTATTTGTTCTAATGTCCGAGCAGCACCTGTATGACCAAATCTTGTTGACTTACCACGAAATGCAAACAAACGAAAAAAGCTAAACAATAAGATGGAATTTTATATTCCAAGTGATCATCTAATTATATTCTATAGTTGCATTAATAATTATAAAAATATAACCATACTAGTGATCTCCCAAGCTTTGAGCGAATGTAATTGTATTAATTGTATTAATTTAAAGCTACAATATACAATAAATACAATATACAAATATACAAATACAAATAAAATATATATACAATATACAGTAAAGCTCCTCACAGCTGCGTCCGACAAGATATTTTTAAAAATATTTTTCTTATATAATAATATGTTTATATAATATATTTTATATTTATATACTATTTTTATAATTTATATTTAAAATATTTTTGTCCACGGGCGGATCCAGACGCCGTCCCTAGCGACCATATGGCGCCTCCGTCCTCGTCCGTTATTCAGAGGGTCAAAGTTTAGCGTGAAAACGAGGGTAGATTAGAGGGAACAAAATAGAGGGAACACTGCTGATGATGGGAACAGACTGAACAGATGATGGGAACAAACTGAACACTGCTGATGATGGGAACAAACTGAACACTGCAGATGATGGGAACAAACTGTACACTGCAGATGATGGGAACAAACTGAACACTGCAGATGATGGGAACAAACTGAACACNATGTGATGGGTGTGTGATGTGATGGGTGTGTGATGTGATGGGTGTGTGATGTGATGGGTGTGTGATGTGATGGGTGTGTGATGTGATGGGTGTGTGATGTGATGGGTGTGTGATGTGATGGGTGTGTGATGTGATGGGTGTGTGATGTGATGGGTGTGTGATGTGATGGGTGTGTGATGTGATGGGTGTGTGATGTGATGGGTGTGTGATGTGATGGGTGTGTGATGTGATGGGTGTGTGATGTGATGGGTGTGTGATGTGATGGGTGTGTGATGTGATGGGTGTGTGATGTGATGGGTGTGTGATGTGATGGGTGTGTGATGTGATGGGTGTGTGATGTGATGGGTGTGTGATGTGATGGGTGTGTGATGTGATGGGTGTGTGATGTGATGGGTGTGTGATGTGATGGGTGTGTGATGTGATGGGTGTGTGATGTGATGGGTGTGTGATGTGATGGGTGTGTGATGTGATGGGTGTGTGATGTGATGGTGTGTGATGTGATGACTAGAGTGGCATGGGATAAAGGCATATCAGGCGGGGTGAGCGACAAAGACGAAGCAGGTGCTGCACGCGATACAGGCGAAAAAGATGCGGCAGGCGATTAGGTAAAGAAGATGAAGGCAGGCGATACAGGCGAAAAATATGCAGCAGGCGATTAGGTAAGGAAGATGAAGGCAGGCGATACAGGCGAGAAAGATGCGGCAGGCGATTAGGTAAAGAAGATGAAGGCAGGCGATCCAGGTGAAAAAGATGCAGCAGGCGATACAGGCGAAAAAGATGCAGCAGGCGATACAGATGAAGAAGATGAGGGCATGCGATACAGGCGAAGAAGGTGCAGCAGGCGATACAGGCGAAGAAGTTGCGGCAGGCGATTAAGGCGAAGCAGGGTGGACAGGCGAAGCTCAGGTGGCTTCATTTGAAGCCAACGCCGCAGCCCTAGAGAGCCAATCAGTGGAGTGAGNGTTGTCATCAGTTGTTGTCACCAGTTGTTGTCACCAGTTGTTGTCACCGGTTGTTGTCACCAATTGTTGTCACCAGTTGTTGTCACCAGTTGTTGTCACCAGTTGTTGTCACTAGTTGTTGTCACCAGTTGTTGTCACCAGTTGTTGTCACCAGTTGTTGTCACCAGTTTTCGTCGTCAGTTCTTTTCGCCAGTTCTTTTAGTCAGTTGTTTTCGCCGGTTGTTGTCACCAGTTGTAGACGCCAGTTGTTTTCTTTAGTTTTCTCTTCAGTTGTTGTCGCCAGTTGCTGTCGCCAGTTGTTGCCGCCAGTCATTGCCGCCAGTTGTTGTCGCCAGCTGTTTTCTTTAGTTGTCGCATCAGTTGTTGTCACCAGTTGTCTTCATCACTGCCAACAACAGCAACGATACCGACAACTATACACTTCTAACAGCAGTGATGTCAACAACAAATACAATGATTGCACACATACATCTGTGTTAATTATCATTCGTGTTCAGTTCACTGTAATTACCTTTCTAAAAGTCACTTTGAAGAAGACTGTTATCTCTGTCTGTCATCTTGTTTTCGCGTGATAGCGGCTATCGGTGCGCAGCTATCGAAATGCAAGGCACTTGTTTGCTTATCATTGTTTGCTTATCATTTAGTCTAATTGTTAGGTAATTGATTGTCCTTATATTAATTGGCTGTGATTATGGCGTCCTTGGGATTATTGATTGATTAATTATTGATCGTAAACAACAAGATTGATTATCTTGTTGTTAACGGGAATTGTTTAGTTTATGTGGTTATTACCGAAGTATTTATTGATCTCTGTTACAATTTTTTATTGCATTCGGTAGTGTCAGCAAGTATGTTATCTTAATTATTATCATAATATTTTCTTGTCAGATATTGATGTTTTGACAGTATTTGTTTTCCATTCGTCATCGCGGTGGTTACCGACAAACTAATCGCGTTCGATTACTGCAATCGACGTTTCTGTCGCGTTAATCGCTACTGTGGTTACATCAGAGATACGTGGTGTAGTTACGGGTGTCGAAAGATACGTGCTACAAGATACGTGCTGTAATAGAGGTTTTACAAGATATGTACCGCAATATACGTACTAAAAGATACGAGCTACAAGATACGTATTGCAAGATAGGCGATGCAAAATACGTGCTGCATGATAGGTGCTGCAAGATATGTACCGCAAAGTACGTAGTAAAAGATAAGTGCTACAAGATACGTGCTACAAGATACGTGCTGCAAGATACGTGCTACAATATAGTGCTACAAGATACGTAGCCTACCGAAAAATACGTACTAAAAGATAAGTGTTGCGAGATACGTACAGCATGATAAGTGCTGTGCTACAAGATACGTGCTACAAAATACGTAGTAAAAGATACGTGCTGCAAGATACGTGCAGCAAGATAAGTGCTACAAGATACGAGCTACAAAATACGTACTAAAAGATAAGTGTTGCGAGATACGTGCAGCTACGACATGAACAAGCAAGTGCCCCAGTCCCCCCAGCGTAACCCCACCTCACCTCAATGACCCGGCGTAAGCCTGATATTGAAGCGGTGTCGTAAGTTACGACGTCTTAACCTTTATTTACGCAGTCACGTTACGAATAATGCTCGCAATTTCTTAGTGAGCTCTGCGGTTATTGCGCCATAGCCTGCGTCGCCGACTTCATTTTCAGATATTTTAAAAATATCAGAGTTACTCCCTATCATCGGGCTCTGCGTTTTCTATACGATCAGAAAAAATTTTCATGATTTTTATGGGAAACTTAGTAATTTTAGTTATGCGATTTTTATTCATATTTTGAAAAAAAGAATAGACCGCGAATTAGAGTCTAATTTTTTTATGCGATACAAGATAATCCTCAACGCTTTATCTATTATTTTATTATTGATCTATCGAAAATTTAAACTTTTATTCAAACGGCACGACATAGAGAGTTAGAGAAAAGAAACCCCAAAGAAAAAAAATAAATATTAATACGTCCTGGAATTTGCCAATTTTAAACCGAACATAACGAAACACTCTGGATAATCCCTCATAGAAACCTCACGAAAGATTATTTTTTAATTCGTTTTTAATTCAATTATTCTTTTAAATTATTCGTTCGAATTTTCATAGTTCGATATTTTAATTTTGCGCTCTGCAATACTCGGTCGCCTTTGACCTCCACACAATCAGTCACCATAACTCAACAATGCTCGCTGGATGTCCCTAATAAGCAATACAATTACAATACAATAATTGATTTGATCAATTAACCTGATTAACCGACCGCTTGTTGAGACCGTCAAGTTAGTGTAATGTGACATGCTCCTTCAAGTTAATTATTATTCTGAGATAGTGACGCTAGTACTTGTTGTGATGGTGAATAGAGTGGGAATATTTGATGTGAATAGAGTAGGAATATTTGAATAGAGTGGCAATATTTAGTGTGAATAGAGTGGGAATATTCAGAGAGATGGTAAACGTATTTAGTACGCAGTGATGATGACTAGGCAACAATTATTTACTGTGGAGTGATGCTGTCTAAATTAAATGTATATTTTGTTCGCAGTGATGATGCCTAGAATAAACGTATTTATTGCGCAGTGAAAGCGACTACAGTTAGAACATTTTTCTTCTTATGATTTCGTGATTCATTTGAATGAATATATTTAATTTCCAACGTGTGCGCCAGAAAATCCTAGAATTTTCTCAAAAATCGTTGTAAGAACGTTATTTTGAATGCTTTCATGGCAACGAAAAGCAATGAATTCATGAAAACATACGCTGGAGGTTGTCATGGCAACGCGCGTCTAAAGCCGTGGAGGAAGATGTCTCCGTAACAGACCTACAGACCATGAAGACTTATGCTCAGCTGGCTCTGTAATAGACCATTCTACAGACCATGAAGACTCATGCTCAGCTGGCTCTTTAAGAGACCATTCTACAGACCATGAAGACGCATGCTCAGCTGGCTCCGTAATAGACCATTCTACAGACCATGAAGACTCATGCTCAGCTGGCTCTGTGATAGACCATTCTACATGCAGACCATGAAGACTCATGCTCAGCTGGCTCTGTAATAGACCATTCTACAGACCATGGAGAGTCATGTACAGGTGGTACAGCAGGTGGCAACTGCACTGCCATCTGCCGAGGAGCGGCAGATGGCACCTGCTCTTCCTGCATGTCCCGACCACAATTGCACCTGCACTGTCTGCACCTGCACTGTCTGCACCTGCACTGTCTGCACCTGCACCATAAAATGTCCATGTTCCAAAGGTGGGTCAAGCTGTGCCAGCTCCACAGACAGCAGCTGCTCCATAAAAGATCGCAGCTCCAGCTGCCCCGCAGTCCCCCCCTTAAGTGGGGCCCAAGCTATAGGCCTCCCCCCAAAATTAGGCGGTCCTCCGAAATTTTCCTCTCTGGCGTCGAGTTTCCAGTTCCGGAGTTCGAGCGACCTGCTGCAGAGCAGACGTCAGAGCAGCCCTGACCACAGAGCTACCAACACAACAACAACAACACCGACCAAGGTCCCCTTAAGGGCGCGGCTAAGGAGGGAACCCTCGGCGCAGGGCAAGGAGCTACTGCAGAAGAGCCACAGTGACCCCAGCGCCCGCCCGCGGCGCCCTTTGGTGCTGCACCGCCGCAGGGGCTCTCCTGTGTCCAAATGTATCCTCACGCTAGACGGCTACAGCTACGTCATCGGTGAGTCATGCTAGGCTACGTCATCGGTGAGTCACGCTAGGCTACGTCATCGATGAGTCTGCTAGGCTACGTCATCAGTGAGTCAAGCTAGGCTACGTCGTCGGTGAGTCATGCTAGGCTACGTCATCGGTGAGTCACGCTACAGCTACGTCATCGGTGAATCACGCTAGGCTACAGCTACGTCATCGGGGAGTCATGCTACAGCTACGTCATCGGTGAGTCATGCTAGGCTACGTCATCGGTGAGTCATACTAGGCTACGTCATCGGTGAGTCACGCTAAGATACGTCATCGGTGAGTCATGCTAGGCTACGTCATCGGGGAGTCACGCTGGGCTACGTCATCGATGAGTCACGCTAGGCAACGTCATCGATGATCTAGTCACACTAGGCTACGTAATCGGTGATCTAGTCACGCTAGGCTACGTCATCGGTGATCTAGTCACGCTAGGCTACGTCATCGGTGATCTAGTCACACTAGGCTACGTCATCGGTGAGTCACGCTAGGCTACGTCATCGGTGAGGCACGATGATCTAGTCACACTAGGCTAGATACTTCACTATATTATAAATTTTTTTGTCGTCAACATACATCGAGCACACGCTAGACACAGCTTCTGGCAGATCGTTTATAAACGCAACGAATAAAACAGGCCCGAGAACGCTTCCTTGTGGCACGCCGCTGCGCACTAAAGCCCACTGTTAGCCCAGTCTGATACGGACCCATTAATACTGATACGTTGGCTACAGCTACGTCGCGGTGAGTCACGCTAGGCTGCGTCATCGGTGAGGCACGCTAGGCTACGTCATCGGTGAGTCATGGTAGGCTACGTCATCGGTGAGTCATGCTAGGCTACGTCATCGGTGAGTCACGCTAGGCTACGTCATCGGTGAGTCACGCTAGGCTACGTCATCGGTGAGGCACGCTAGGCTACATCATCGGTGAGGCACGCTAGGCTACAGCTACGTCGCGGTGAGTCACGCTAGGCTACGTCATCGGTGAGGCACGCTAGGCTACAGCTACGTCGCGGTGAGTTATGCTAGGCTAAGTTACGTCATTGGTAAGACGCGCTTAAATCAACTCTCAGCCTCAAATATTGAAAAATATTTTTTTTCGAACCACATCAAAAGTTTGTTGCCGCAGAAGCGCTCGTCTGAAAACATCGTTTGTGCTTTGAATAAAATTTTTTTTATTTTTGATGCTCCGATATTGGATGCACTGTTGACTCAGGGTTGCGGAATATTCGGAAGTAATATAATGTATCAAATATAGAGTAAAGAAAATATTCATGTTCAGTATTATAATTATTGAGGGTAATATTGTTGTCACATGATGCTTTGATTGCAATTAAAATTATTTTATAGTATGGTACAGAAGTGTCGGGGCCCGAAAAATAGGCCAAGTTTGGCCTGACGCCAGTTGTATTAACTATCGTGACATGTTCACAGGAAATGTAAAAACTGGTCTCATGATCAAATATTTTTAAAACTCATCTTGAAATTTATAGAGATAGGATTTTTACCAGGTCCGAGGGGCGCTATACGCACTTCATGTCAGAAGATGTACGTCTGAATACCTTTATTTAGTTTGTTCTAGAACGCGTTCTTATTCGGAGCGTCAACCATTTCGCCATTAAGTTTGTTCCACGCGTCGGTGCCTCGCAGCGAGAAGTTGTCGCATGGATGAGTTGCACCGCAGTTTTTTATTTTATAATCGTAGCCTCTGAAGGTATTGCTGATATTGCTATTTTCTTGCTTCAAATTCTTGGAATCTGTCTGGAATCTTGCATAAACCATGTATATACTTTCAAAAATCAATGATGTCTAAATCAAGACTAAAAAGCTTCATAATCGCTAGTCTTTCTTCATATAACTTTATTTTTAAGTCTGGAATCATCTCTGTTATTTATCTGTTAAGTCTATCTTTAGAAGAGAAGAATATAGAGGAAATAAAAACGCGACATGATTTCTTTTTCCATTGTTCATGAGGCTAGTAATGTATATGGCTCTTGAAATTCTAGCCTGGACAGTACTTAATTGCGAGAGCGCCTGATCATGCAGTCACAATCTTTTATTGGCTTTCTAAACTTGTGCTTCAATATGCTTAGAAATTTTCAACTCTTTGTCGACATAAACTCCCAAATCTTTTAGACCATCAACTTTTCAATCATCCCTGTCTCATTGCAACCATGTATAATTCTCTTACTCTAAGCTTGCGATCAATGTTCTTTCGAAGGCGAAGTACTCTATTCTTTTCAACATTAAAACGCAGCTGCCATGTATCAGCCCAGCCAACTAAACTATTAAGATCGTCTCGCACCTGCACTTTTTTCAAACATTTTTACCTTTATTATAAACATTTTTGACGTCAGCATACAAGGAGCACACATATTAGTGATGGTAATATTTTTTTTATCAAATGACATCTCAGGCCATATTTCGAGCTTGTATTGTGTTTATGACAATTGTTTTGGAATTGTAAGAATTTCATCATTTACGTTACAAAATAGCGGGTACTATTCAGAATGATATGGATAGTTAGTAGGACAGCTGATCGGATTACCACGAGCGTGGTATTTCATGTCCTGGTTTCATACTTTCAAAACTCGCTAAGTGAACGTAAGTACTTACGCTCTATTTTCTTGTCTATGATTGGTGGATTTGGCTTGAAAGGCCGTCAATGATTGGCGGATGAACTTACGATCTCTTAACTTTTTTTGAAAGTATAGGCCCTGGTAGTAGAAAATAAGACTCCAGTCTCTTCTAAAGTGTCTCCCTTCAGAGCGCCCGTCTTGACATATGTACTGTTAAATGTAATGCTGATTTTTTTTTGCTCATTAAATAAATAAGTGTTGAAACTACCGTGATCTATTCTCCTGAGGAATAGAAAGAAACAGCTGATAGGTAGAACCCTGTGAAATAGTGACGGGTATCTAACGTTAACACAAGACGCAAGATACCCTAAGTGCGTCTAGTGTACATGGTAATTGGTCACACGCATGGTAACTATCAGTAACTATGACAGCTGCTCGATCACTTGGAGGGTAACTTAATTGGCATACCAGACGCCTACTGAAGACTGCGTTCATAGTTACTAACTCCGCTTCTCAGCGTTACCTGCATCGTCGGTACTTAAACATGGTAATGGATTACTATGACTAAACAAAAACTATTCGTATTTCGTCTGTACCTGAACATGGTAACGGGGGACTATGACTATAAACTATTCATAGTTCTTTTCTACATAAAATGGAAGCGGGGACCATTGACATAAACTATTCACACTTTTTGAACTCAATAAAACACGCATGGAAACCGAATTCTTCATTTTCATCCCTCACTTACACACTCGCCCACTTAAACTCGGTCCAGCACTGCATACAATTTTTTCCAATAAAAGGGTTTTAAGAAATAAGTGTTCAATTATTTTTTTATTAAAATATAATTAACTAATTACTTTTATCATTTAAATTATAATACATAACTAAGTATAATAATTATTAAATGTTAACGAGAGCTTTCTCTTCCCCGCAGTGGCCAGTCCCCCCGACAAGAGCGCCGACGGCAGCCCCAGAGACGAGCCCCAGCTGCCCCAGGGGAGCCGCAACGGGGAGCTCAACAGTGGGTGTTGGGGGGGGGTGTGATTTGTTGGTATGATGATTTGAGGGTTGGTTGGTGGGGCGATTTGACGCTTGATAGGCGGGGTGAATTGATGATTTGTTGGTGGGGTGATTTGATAACAAGACAGTTTGGTGACTCCGATGCATGGTCGTTATGGTGTTCGTTGGGGTGTTTTAATTCTTATAGTTGGTGGCATAATTTCATAGTTTCTAGGGTAATTTGGTGCCAGGTTGATGGGGTGATTTGATAGTATGTTGTTTTATTATAAGCTTAGGTTCAATAGCCTATTCAAGTGTTAATTTGATGTAAAGTACTACAAAACAAGAAATGTGCTACCATAAACCAGTCATCAAGTCCTGCAACCATAAAGCGGTTGTATGGTTCATCAAGTCAAGCATCCTGCCCCCCCAGTGCTATTGCTACCTGAGCACTGCCCCCCCAGTGCTATTGCTACCTGAGCGCTGCCCCCCAGTGCTATTGCTACCTGAGCACTGCCCCCCCAGTGCTATTGCTACCTGAGCACTGCCCCCCAGTGCTATTGCTACCTGAGCACTGCCCCCCNTTAACCCAAATCCTCCCAACACAAAAAGAAACATAATTAATTACAAATGCTATTGCAATATTCGTAAGCGTTATGGCCCGGCTCCTCTTCCAGTTGTTGTATGATTTCGAGCTTATTTTCAAACAAAATTCATTTTTCTTCCATGGTCCGCTTGCTGCTTAACAAGCTCTGGGAGTTTTCAGAATTTTTTTCTCTGCAAGTTATATATTATTTTTTGTCATGATTTGGACAATGATTCGTATTTGGCCAAAGTTGTATAGGTGTTGTCAAAAATATTCAGATATGATTAGATATTTTTTTAAACGTTCATACACGTTCAGACACGTTCAGACATGTTCAGGCGCGTTCAGACACGTTCAGCCATGGTCGCAATTTTTTACCTGAGCTGTTTTTGCCGCGTACATTCCACTGTTTATTTTTACATCACTCCTCCGCTTTATATTTATGATTATTTTCAGGGTTTCCATCCACAATTGTTTAGTTAGTTGTTCGCTGCAAAACTTTCTCCAGCTGATCAGCTTTACTAATCGTATTTCCTTCCCACTCCACTCGTCTCCCTTCACTTTCTTTTCACTCCACACAGATCTAGATCATTTCATTTCGTCGATCCCTATAAATAACTATAATCTCTGTCGCTTCCCCTACCGCGAACCTAAACATCACAGATCTCGTCACTTATCGTTCCTCCATCCTACAGGACTGTGATCTCGATCCCTTCCTCTTCCTCGATCTTATCGAGATCTCTAATCTCGAGAACTTCTCCTTACTCGATCATGGATATAAAAAATCTCGATCTCTTCAAGAGAAAACTCATATATGAATGAGATAGTGAAGTGTCCATTCCCTCTTCCTCTACCATATCTCGATCACATCGATCCTAGAGCCTGTCTCTTATACACATCTAGATGTGTATAAGAGACAGCTGCCCCCCAGTGCTATTGCTACCTGAGCACAGGCTCTCATTCCCATTCCCACTTTGATTCCTCGTCATTCCCGGCCATCAAAGCGCTGCTCTTGATGCAAGCTCTTGATGCCTGGGCTCTTTGAAGCTCCTCTTACAAGAGTTTAATTAATAGCATCAGAACAAAGAGGTTTGAACTTGTGCAGTAAAGCGCGCGGCATTAAAATGAAGTTTTAAACACGTTATTTCATGGTGTGCGTTAAATGAATTTATTTATTAAAAATTACATTTTTTGGTGCCAGAGAACATTTTTTTGAAGAAATTGTTGTCGGAATCCAATATTGAGCTGAAGTACTGTACAATTGATCAGTTTAAAAAAAATGATTGGCTAAAGCAGCAACGGACCAGTTCAACAATTCCCAGTTGAATACCCCTATAAGATTCATCTAATGAAATATATCATTTAACCAATATTAAACTTCTCGTTGAATTCAACTATCTACAACTGGCGATTTGATTCTTTAACCAATTGTTCCATTGAACATTTGAACTTTAAATTAAGTAATATACAAGGAGAGAACACGGGTACGCCATTTAATGCACATGGTACGCCATTTAATACACATGGTACGCCATTTAATACACATGGTACGCCNGATACGAGGACCGCAATAGATGCAAAGACCACGTATAGATACGAGGACCGCAATAGATGCAAAGACCACGTATAGATACGAGGACCGCAATAGATGCAAAGACCACGTATAGATACGAGGACCGCAATAGATGCAAAGACCACGTATAGATACGAGGACCGCAATAGATGCAAAGACCACGTATAGATACGAGGACCGCAATAGATGCAAAGACCACGTATAGATACGAGGACCGCAATAGATGCAAAGACCACGTATAGATACGAGGACCGCAATAGATGCAAAGACCACGTATAGATACGAGGACCGCAATAGATGCAAAGACCACGTATAGATACGAGGACCGCAATAGATGCAAAGACCACGTATAGATACGAGGACCGCAATAGATGCAAAGACCACGTATAGATACGAGGACCGCAATAGATGCAAAGACCACGTATAGATACGAGGACCGCAATAGAAGCAAAGACTGACATTCCTGACTAGCTCGACTGAAGAATGTTGAAATGCGTTGTTGGAGTATGTTGAAGAATGTTACAGGGGATGTTGAATGTCGTTATTAGAGAATTTCAAAGAATGTTACAAGTTGAATATTGAAATACGTTTTTAGAAAATGTAAAAGAATGTTACGAGGGGAATGTTGAAAGGCGTTTTTTAAAAATGGATAAAGAATTTTAAGAGGGTGATGTTGAGAAGCGTTATTGTAGAATGCTAAAGAATGTTAATAGGGGAATATTCAAAGGCGTTATTAGCGAATATCAAAGAATGTTACCGGGGAGTTTGAAAGGATTTATTATAAAATGTTAAAGAATGTTTCCGGGGGGATGTTGAATGGCGTTATAGGAGAATTATAAAGAAAGTTACCTAAGATTTTGAACGGCAGTATTAGAGGATGTCAAAGAATGTTACCGGGGGATGTTGAAAGGCGTTATTTAAGAATGTCAAAGAATGTTACCTAAGTTGAAAGACTTTATTTGAGAATGTCAAAGAATGTTACCTTGGATGTTGAAAGGCGTTATTAGAGAATGTTGAAGAATGTTACGGAGTAATGTTATAGAGAGTTATTAGAGAATAACAAAAAATGTTACCGATGATGTTAAATGGCGTTATTAGAGAATGATAATGAATGTTACTATAGGGAAATGTTGAATAGCATTATTAGAGAATGTCAAAGAATGTTACGAGAGGGATGTTCAAAGGCGTTATTGGAGAATGTCAAAGAATGTTACCTATGTTGAGAATGTTTAGAGAATGTTGAAGAATGTTACTTTATATGTTGAAAGGCGTTATTAGAGAATGTCAAATAATGTTACTGAAAATGTTAAATGGCGTTATTGGAGAATGTTAAAGAATATTACCTAAGTTGAATGGCATAATTTGAGAATGATAAAGAATGTTACTACGGAAATGTTGAATAACATTATTAGAGAATGTTGAAGAATGTTACCGGGTTATGTTGTTGTGGCAGAGCAAGGGTCGCTTACGATCCTGAGGCGGTCCAGCAGCCGGACCCTGGGCCGCCCTCGGGGGCCCTCGGACCCCGACCCTCCAGCGGCCCCGGACCCCGACGACGCGGCTGAGAAGGCGGCGGTCCGGTGGGGTCTTGCTTAGTGTTAATAATTATATTATATATTCTTATATTATTAATATAATAATATTAATTATATTATTCTTATATTATAAGAATTAGAGCTACTGTCTTGTACTACTTGCTTAGTGTTGATACACTGTTAGAAAAATTACCAATAACGTTATTACCGGCGTTTCAGTGGCCGGTCGGCACGACCGGCCACTGAAACGCCGACACGGGGCGACCGGACACTGAAAAGCCAGTGGGACCGTTTTTTCACCATTTTTTCTAACAGTGTATAATGACTTTGTATATATTATATTATGTATTTTTCAATTTCTTGTTATTTTAGCCTCTCCTACGTATCTGGTAATTTCAGAGTAAATTAAAATAAAAAAATTAAAATTTGAGAGAAATTATGTAGATAATCGTTCAAATCAGCATTTACCTTCAGTAGGAATAAAGAGTGTATAGCACCATTGCAATAGGACTGTACTAATGTGGTGATAGCGGCTATTTCTAATATAGTAGCAGCAATAGTAAAAGTCTTACTGACTTTTATTAAACCGAATTCCTAATCTAATATCATCAACTCACCTTAATACACAAATTCTTTCAATAATATCCCTCCCAGAACCCAAATATCCCAATCATTACATTAATATCACACTCCCTGTATCCTTATAACCTACCCTGTGTCCTAATATCCTACCCTGTATCCTTATATCCTGCCCTGTATCCTATTATCCTACCCTATATCCTCATATCCCACCCTATATCCCATTATCCTACCCTATATCTTCATATCCTACCCTATATCCTATTATCCTGCCCTGTATCCTATTATCCTACCCTGTGTCCTTATATCCTACCCTGTGCCCTTAATTATATCCTGCCCTGTGTCCTTATATCCTGCCCTGTATCCTATTATCCTGTCCTGTATCCTAATATCCTGCCATGTATCCTATTATCCTGCTCTGTATCCTATTATCCTGCCCTGTATCCTATTCTCCTACCCTGTATCCTATTATCCTGCCCTGTATCCTATTATCCTGCCCTGTATCCTATTATCCTACCCTGTATCCTATTATCCTGCCCTGTATCCTATTATCCTGCCCTGTATCCTNTGTGGTCCTACGTGTTATCGTGTGGTCCTACGTGTTATCGTGTGGTCCTACGTGTTATCGTGTGGTCCTACGTGTTATCGTGTGGTCCTACGTGTTATCGTGTGGTCCTACGTGTTATCGTGTGGTCCTACGTGTTATCGTGTGGTCCTACGTGTTATCGTGTGGTCCTACGTGTTATCGTGTGGTCCTACGTGTTATCGTGTGGTCCTACGTGTTATCGTGTGGTCCTACGTGTTATCGTGTGGTCCTACGTGTTATCGTGTGGTCCTACGTGTTATCGTGTGGTCCTACGTGTTATCGTGTGGTCCTACGTGTTATCGTGTGGTCCTACGTGTTATCGTGTGGTCCTACGTGTTATCGTGTGGTCCTACGTGTTATCGTGTGGTCCTACGTGTTATCGTGTGGTCCTACGTGTTATCGTGTGGTCCTACGTGTTATCGTGTGGTCCTACGTGTTATCGTGTGGTCCTACGTGTTATCGTGTGGTCCTACGTGTTATCGTGTGGTCCTACGTGTTATCGTGTGGTCCTACGTGTTATCGTGTGGTCCTACGTGTTATCGTGTGGTCCTACGTGTTATCGTGTGGTCCTACGTGTTATCGTGTGGTCCTACGTGTTATCGTGTGGTCCTACGTGTTATCGTGTGGTCCTACGTGTTATCGTGTGGTCCTACGTGTTATCGTGTGGTCCTACGTGTTATCGTGTGGTCCTACGTGTTATCGTGTGGTCCTACGTGTTATCGTGTGGTCCTACGTGTTATCGTGTGGTCCTACGTGTTATCGTGTGGTCCTACGTGTTATCGTGTGGTCCTACGTGTTATCGTGTGGTCCTACGTGTTATCGTGTGGTCCTACGTGTTATCGTGTGGTCCTACGTGTTATCGTGTGGTCCTACGTGTTATCGTGTGGTCCTACGTGTTATCGTGTGGTCCTACGTGTTATCGTGTGGTCCTACGTGTTATCGTGTGGTCCTACGTGTTATCGTGTGGTCCTACGTGTTATCGTGTGGTCCTACGTGTTATCGTGTGGTCCTACGTGTTATCGTGTGGTCCTACGTGTTATCGTGTGGTCCTACGTGTTATCGTGTGGTCCTACGTGTTATCGTGTGGTCCTACGTGTTATCGTGTGGTCCTACGTGTTATCGTGTGGTCCTACGTGTTATCGTGTGGTCCTACGTGTTATCGTGTGGTCCTACGTGTTATCGTTTGGTCCTACGTCGTATAATGTGGTCTTGCATGATCTTGTGGTCTTGCATGCTCTCTAACTAATTACCGCAGCTCGGTAAAACTTTGCATATGTCTTTATTATTCCCAAACGGTGATGGTTAAGTCGCTATTATTTTTTTTCAAATTCACATTCCTTTCCAATTTATACGGTTCCCCACCTACCATGTGGAATTTTGTTGTTCTATGAGGTCCTACTCGGGCCAGTGTTATCCGTGGCAAGGAGTCCTACGTGATCCTGCTGTCACTGTCAAGTAATATGTACACTTGTGTAGGAAGCTGATGGTAATCTGTTCAGGTGCAAGATACACTACGTTTATAAGTAGGAATACTGCATGAAATCAAACGTTGTTCTCTACCAAAATTTCGTCTTGGTGAAATACCAAGAATCCTACGTGATCCTACCTTGAGAATCTTTTGTAATCCTGGCCGAATAATCAAACATGATCCTAGCCTGAGAATCCTACGTGATCCTAATCTGAGAAACCTACGTGATCCTAGCCTGAGAATCCTACGTGGTCTATTCTGAGAATACTACGTGATCCTAGCCTGTGAATCTTATCTAATCCTGGCCGAATAATCAAACATGATCCTAGCCTGAGAATCCTACGTGATCCTAGCCAAAGAATCCTACGTGATCCTAGCCTGAGAATCCTACGTGGTCTATTCTGAGAATACTACGTGATCCTAGCCTGAGAATCTTATCTAATCCTGGCCGAATAATCAAACATTATCCTAGCCTGAGAATCCTACGTAATCCTAGCCAAAGAATCCTACGTGATCCTAGCCTGAGAATCCTACGTGGTCTATTCTGAGAATACTACGTGATCCTAGCCTAAGAATCCTAAGTGCTTCTAGCTTTAGATCCTTACGTGGTCCTAGTCTGAGACTCCTACGTAATCCTGGCCAAAGAATCCCAAGAGATCCTAATCTGAGAATGCAACGTGATACTAACCTGAAAATCCTACATGATTCTAACCTGAGAATCCTTCGTAATCTTAGCCAGAAAATCCCAGGTGATCCTAGACTAAGAATCCCAAGTGATTCTAACTTTAGAATATTCTGTGGTCCTAGCCTAAGAATCTTACATGATAAAAATCTTACATGATCCTATCCTGAGTGATCCTAGCCAAGATTCCTATGTAATACTAGCCTAAGAATCCTACGCGATCTTCACCTAAAAATCTTACATGATCCTATCCTGAGTGATCCTAGCCAAGATTCCTATGTAATACTAGCTTAAGAATCATACGTGATCCTAGACCGAGAGTCCTACGTGATCCAAGCCTAGGAATCCTATGCAATATTGGTAAAATTATGAATGTGAAGCATACATGTGAACCATGAATTAGAGTTTAATTGTGGAGCATCCATTTAAACATGAATGTGAAGACTGGGTGCGTAACATGAGTACGAAGCACGAGTATCAAAATTAATGTTGGTTTGACAATTTCATCATCTTGAAAATTGTGCAACTTGACGCTGATTGTTGAAAATGCAAGACACTCAGCAATCAAATTGTACGAGAATCCACAAAATGAAAATTCACTATTTCATTCCTAATCCATGAAACCAAATCTCATATTACACTTTAAAATCATTCGAGAATTTCAGTCCAGTACGCAAATTAACCCAAATCCTCCCAACACAAAAAGAAACATAATTAATTACAAATGCTATTGCAATATTCGTAAGCGTTATGGCCCGGCTCCTCTTCCAGTTGTTGTATGATTTCGAGCTTATTTTCAAACAAAATTCATTTTTCTTCCATGGTCCGCTTGCTGCTTAACAAGCTCTGGGAGTTTTCAGAATTTTTTTCTCTGCAAGTTATATATTATTTTTTGTCATGATTTGGACAATGATTCGTATTTGGCCAAAGTTGTATAGGTGTTGTCAAAAATATTCAGATATGATTAGATATTTTTTTAAACGTTCATACACGTTCAGACACGTTCAGACATGTTCAGGCGCGTTCAGACACGTTCAGCCATGGTCGCAATTTTTTACCTGAGCTGTTTTTGCCGCGTACATTCCACTGTTTATTTTTACATCACTCCTCCGCTTTATATTTATGATTATTTTCAGGGTTTCCATCCACAATTGTTTAGTTAGTTGTTCGCTGCAAAACTTTCTCCAGCTGATCAGCTTTACTAATCGTATTTCCTTCCCACTCCACTCGTCTCCCTTCACTTTCTTTTCACTCCACACAGATCTAGATCATTTCATTTCGTCGATCCCTATAAATAACTATAATCTCTGTCGCTTCCCCTACCGCGAACCTAAACATCACAGATCTCGTCACTTATCGTTCCTCCATCCTACAGGACTGTGATCTCGATCCCTTCCTCTTCCTCGATCTTATCGAGATCTCTAATCTCGAGAACTTCTCCTTACTCGATCATGGATATAAAAAATCTCGATCTCTTCAAGAGAAAACTCATATATGAATGAGATAGTGAAGTGTCCATTCCCTCTTCCTCTACCATATCTCGATCACATCGATCCTAGAGCTCTTTGATCACGATCACTGTCCATTCCTGATCCTAGAAGTCTCTGATCTCGATCACTTCCCCTACCTAGATCCTAGAGGCATCTGATCTCGACCACTTCCCCTACCTCGATGCTAGAGGCCTCTAATTTAGACCACTTCCCTTACCTAGATCCTAGAGGTCTCTGAAATCGATCATTTCCTCTACCTCGACCCTAGAGCTCTCTGATCGCGATCACTTCCTCTACCTTGACCCTAGCACTCTCTGGTCGCGATCACTGTCCGTTCCTCGATCCTTGAGGTCTCTGATCTCGATAGCTCCCCATTCTGCAACCCTTTATATCACTGATCTCGATAACTCCCCTCTAATGGGGGTGGCCGTACCCAGATCTCCAGATCGCGGGGGTCAGGCCATCACGATCAGTTTGGACGCCCCGTCGGGCGCCGCGCCCGCCGATGCTGCGGCCGACACACAACCGAGGTTCCGGGACAAAATTGTTCTTTAAAATCAAAGTAAACGTAGCGAACGTAGCGAACGTATAGAGTGTAGCGAATGTAGCGAACGTAGCGAACGTAGTGAACGTTTGTGCCCTAGAAAACGTTAGAAAATGTACAGTAATTAGATGAATGTAGAGGATGTTGTTGCCTGAACCTTAAGCATCTGCTTATAACGCCTTGAATCAGCACACCAATAGACCAATTAATTAAGTCTTGCGTGTACGACAAGACCAAATATTGACCACAATTCATATACACAACAGATCATTCGTTGTAAGATCCGCTGTCGTAAACTGTGTGTTGTAAATATCCTGCGCGTATTACGTAATACGTGTTGTGAAATTATGCATTTACTTTGTAAATTTGCTTAATTGACGTTGTTTATTTACGTTATTTAAAACGAAAAACGTCTGAACTGTATAACAACGCAATTAAATACCAGCGTGAGCCGCTGTTTCCTCCGCATCGATGTTGTATTTTACTGTGTAGCTGATATACTCAGTTACTAACTGAGCTACTGACCACTCGCCTGCCACTGACCACTCACCTGCCACTGACCACTTACCTGCCACTGACCACTCACTTGCCACTGACCACTCATCTGCCACTGACCACTCATCTGCCACTGACCACTCACCTGCCACTGACCACTCACCTGCCACTGACCACTCACCTGCCACTGACCACTCACCTGCCACTGACCACTCACCTGCCACTGACCACTTATGTAATCAGCATTGTTATCAGTAATGTTATCAGTAATGTTATCAGCAATGTTATCAGCAATGTTATCAGCAATGTTATCAGCAATGTTATCAGCAATGTTATCAGCAATGTTATCAGCAATGTTATCAGCAATGTTACCAGCAATGTTATCAGCAATGTTATCAGCATTGTTATCAGCAATGTTATCAGCAATGTTATCAGCAATGTTACCAGCAATGTTATCAGCAATGTTATCAGTATTGTTTTTGGCTGTTTTCTGCTCTGTCATCATTACTGCCGTTGATAAGCACCACTGATAAGCACCAAGTTATCGCAGTTATTAACCTTCATATTGCATATATCATTCCTGCTCTCGCTATAACCAAACTTTTTATCGCTTTCATCCCTGTTATCTCTCGACCGAACAACTTCATCATTATTATCAGTCCATCAGTCCATATTATTGCAGTCATTAGCCCCTGTTATCACTGTTATCAGGCTCTAATCATTCATGTTATCAGGCTCTAATCGCAGTAATCATGGTCCTCTACCACTGTTATCAGCCCTTGTTATCGCTATTATCATCCCCCTGTTATCGCTGTTATCAGCCCCTGTTATCACTGTTATCTGCCCCAACTATCACGGTTCTCAGCCCATGTTATCGCTGTAATCAGAGTCTGTTACCACTGTTATCAGCCCCTGTTATCGCTGTTATCAGCCAATAATATCAGCACTGCCCAAAAGTCGCCAGCACGACAGGAATGCCATCGCTAACAGGGATCGGGAATGCCAGTTGCGTTCCCGCCATTCCAGTCGCGACAAAATTCGCCCCGTGTACCCTATTGAAAATCACGACCGGGTCATCGTTGGCCAACCGGCGGCCGCGTTAATTGTTTAAATTTCTCAGCAAATTCCGATGGCCGGGAAATCTTAACAAATAAGAAGAATTTCCTCGACAAGGAAGTTTTTCGGCGTTTTGGAAACAATTTTTGTTAGCAATCTCTGGGTAGTTTGTAGACAACCCTTCCTTCTGTACAATATTTCGGCAAAACTTACACATAATTTACATTCTTTATTTATTATTTACATTATTACCTTCCTTCTGTAAAATATTTCGGCAATCCTTACACATAATTTACATTCTTTATTCATTATTTACATTATTAAACATAATTAATGCATTATATATACATAATTTATATTCATTATTCATTATTTTATTATTGTTCATTTACACTCATTAGTCATTATTAACTCTTTGGAAATACTAGGTTGAATTCAGACATACCAGTGAAGATGACTACGACATATTAAAAATATTAATAATTTAGTATTTTTACCTGGAAACCCTCCTTTTTCATTGTACAGTATTAATTTGTAAATATTTCGTTCGTGATTCGGTTATAAATGTGATTTCAGCTCGTGCTCTATAATTCAATCAATATCAGATTCGAAATTTAATACTTTCTCTAAATTTTTATTTATTATCTAATTCAAATACTTTCCATTTTACATTAATTCGTATTAATTTACTTTTTATTGCATGATTAATACCTTGTATATGATTCGGTGCTTGTATTGCAGTCACCCCCTCAAAACCGTATTTGTTTTATGATTTTTTCTCTGTTATTTACTGTTATTTTTTTCTCTGTTATTTACTGTTATAGTTGTAGCTGTTATTTCCTCCGGTTATATGTCTATTGTAACATAATAAGTATCGACAACTGCTATTAGTAACAATGAGCCTGACACATCAATTTGTTCTATAAGTTTCAGTTAAATTAACGCTTAATTTAGTTAAACTAAATTAAATGAAAAATCTATAAATCCGCGAACAACATTTTTCAAGTGAACGCCACAATTGGGCTAACAACCCCAAGATAACGCTGCGATTTATATATCGTAATCTTGATTACAGTAATTACCCTGAAAAAAAAGTATATTGATCATCAGGGCTAACGCTGCGTTATATATAACGTAATCTTGATTACAGTAATACCCGGAAAAAAATTATATTGATCATCATATAGCATATAAATAACATGCGTTATTAAAGTCACTGATGCTATTCAATATGAGGAACTGCCCTTTCACTTTAACCAATAGCAGTTGTCATTGCTAATAAATGTTATGCCACAATACATGAATCTATGTAAAAATATTCGATTTTTCATTTCGAAACTATCTTTTTTTTCCTACCAGCAAGATTTTTTTTCACTATTTTTAACATATCTCCCATAGATTATAATATTCCTATTATACGTATTTAATATACCTAATTACCTATATCCCTATATACGCATCTATGTATGTATACCTATATACGCATCATTGAAATTCAGTGTATTTTCAAGGGCTTAAAAAATTATTTGTTGATAATATAGATGTTTTAGTGTAATAATTCAGCGTTAAATAACTCATAGATTGTACACATATCATATTTGTTATCATTTCATGATGCTTAGTAAGTTAACCTATGTATATATACCTATATACGCATCATTGAAATTCAGTGTCTTTTCATGGGTTTAGAAAATTATTTGTTGATATTATAGATGTTTTAGTGTAATAATTTTGTAATCAATCACTCGTAGATTGTATGCATATCACATTCATTATCATTTCATGATATTTAGTAAGTTAATCTTGTATCACATGATATGGGACCATTCTTTCAAAACTCGCTAAGTGAACGTAAGTACTTACGCTCTATTTTCTTGTCTATGATTGGTGGATTTTGCTAAAAAAAGCTGTCAATGATTGGCTGATGAACATACGATCTCTTAGCTTTTTTTGAAAGCATGGGCCCTGTTGGACATAAATGGGATGATTTACAATGGATCATATCACAATTCTTCACTGTCTCATTACCTGACATTCTTTCTCGAGTCTCTGCCAGCAGTATATTCTCTGCCAGCAATATATTCTCAGCCAGCAATATATTCTCTGCCAGCAATATATTCTCTGCCAGCAATATATTCTCTGCCAGCAATATATTCTCTGCCAGCAATATATTCGCTGCCAGCAATATATTCTCTGCCAGCAATATATTCTCTGCCAGCAATATGTATGTTCTATTAGTAAACTGATACCCAAAATCTGCGGCTTATATGTCATCCCTACTGACAAAACAACGGTTAATTCGTTGCCACCAATATCAGTCAATAAATAACCCCACAGCTGCCACCAACAACACCCAAAATTACCCCACCGTTGCTACCTATAACACCCAAAACAAGCCCCCCTCCCCCCATTTACCTTCACACTGATTCCCCCCGTGTGCCCCAGACGCCCCCCTGACGAGGAGGACGAGCTGTCCGAGGTGGAGCCTGACGCGGTGCCCCCCGAGGTGCGTGAGTGGCTCGCCTCCACCTTCACCCGCCAGCTGTCGGGCGGCCGGCGAAAAAACGACGAAAAACCCAAGTTCAGGTAAGGGTTGGTGTCCCGCCTCCATTTTCAACCGCCTGTTGTCGGGCGGCCGGTGAAAAAACGACGAAAAACCTAAATTCAAGTGAGGGCTGGTGACCTATGTATATATGTCGCATACGGTCGGTATGAAAGACATTTTACTTAGAGTGTAATCCGGCTCGTGATACTTGCTTCTATATGTGCCATTAGGTCAAATATTTCCATTAAAAAACAAATGGATTTGTATATCACGAAAAGTAATAAGACTCATTCACGCAAGCGACTAAAACTATGATGAATATTGTTTCTTTTCTCGATAACAAATTTTGAGAATCGCGAAAACTTCAAGAATAATCTCTATTCCAAAATAATATTAACACTTAATGACTCTACCATTGAATATCATTGTAGTTTCTCGAGGATTTAGTTACTACTCCCGTAGTTACTACTCCTGTAATTACTACTTCTGTAGTTACTACTCCTGTAGTTACTACTACCTAATACAAGACGCAATATTAGGTGGCAATATTGGCCAATTAGGCGGCTACTGCGGCCCTGATTGGCAAATCAAAAGCCAGCATCGCCTTTGCTCGAAAACAAACAAAATCGATGAGCGAAGCGCAAGACGTGGTGATGAAGTGGTGGTGAAGGAAATGGTGATGAAGTGGTGTGAAGGAAGTGGTGATGAAGTGGTAGTGAAGGAAGTGGTGGTGAAGTGGTGGTGAAGGAAGTGGTGATGAAGTGGCAGTGAAGGAAGTGGTGATGAAGTGGCAGTGAAGGAAGTGGCGATGAAGTGGTGGTGAAGGAAGTGGTGATGAAGTGGTGGTGAAGGAAGTGGTGATGAAGTGGTGGTGAAGGAAGTGATGATGAAGTGGTAGTGAAGGAAGTGGTAGTGAAGGAAGTGGTGATGAAGTGGTGGTGAAGTGGTAGTGAAGGAAGTGGTGATGAAGTGGTAGTGAAGGAAGTGGTGATGAAGTGGTAGTGAAGGAAGTGGTGATGAAGGAAGTGGTGGTGAAGGAAGTGGTGGTGAAGGAAGTGGTGGTGAAACATTCATATAATACTGGCGTGCCTCCCAAGAGACTATATATTCACAGTAGCATGAAATTCTGATGACCTAAGCAGAGACAAGTTTATAGTAGTAAATAATATCCTGTGTTTCATAACAGAGCCCAGTTTACGGCCTCTAGTAGTTCCAGAATTTAAATGTGATGAAAAATTAATGGTCAAGTCATATTTCCTTGAAGACAAAAATGTACTTGTACAATTATTTTTGTTTTGGATGGAAATTTATACCGATTGTTATAAGCAAGTGTGTGTATATATGCCTAGTCTAGGAAAATATTTGTAACTACGTTAATCTTCCAATCCTACGTCTATTATCTCAACCCCCGCACCTTTTCTGCCTTAAAAACCCCACCATTTGTATAGGCCCTCATGGAATAGCCTTTATTTGCCCAATTCTACCTTAAAAACCACACTATTTGACCAGGCCCTTAAGTAACAGCCTCCATTTGCCCAATTCTACCTTAAAAACCCCCACTATTTGTACAGGCCCTTATTTAACAGCCTTCATTTTCCCAATTCTACCTTAAAAACCCCCACTATTTGTACAGGCCCTTATTTAACAGCCTTCATTTGCCCAATTCTACCTTAAAATCTTCGCCATTTGTGCAGGCATTTAAGTAACAGCCTTCATTTACCAACTTACCTTAAAAACCCCAGCATTTGCACAGGCCCTTAAGGAACAGCCTTCATTTGCCTAATTCTACCTAACCCCTTGTCTTGCTTATGTTTAATAACTACTTTAATCTACCCGAGTCTACGCCCACAGGTCGGTGGCTAACGCCATCCGTGCGGGCATATTCGTGGAGCGCATCTACAGAATTTAATAACTACTTTAATCTACCCGAGTCTACGCCCACAGGTCGGTGGCTAACGCCATTCGTGCGGGCATATTCGTGGAGCGCATCTACAGAATTTAATAACTACTTTAATCTACCCGAGTCTACGCCCACAGGTCGGTGGCTAACGCCATCCGTGCGGGTATATTCGTAGAGCGCATCTACAGAAGACTCTGCTCTGCCACCTTCCTACAGCTGCCGCAGGAGGTCTCCAGGGTACTCAAGGTGGGAAATTATTCCATTTTATTTATGGACACATGCTTGTATTAGACATAATTGATTTGGTATTAATTGATAACAATTGTCGATATTCTAGATAATTAAATTAGTATTAATCAATAAGAATTAGTTGATTGATCACATACCAACAAATTGGATATTTCCACATACCGTTATCCAGAATCCAATAATCTTAAATATTATCATCCTGAACTGCATTTCAAAAATCCAGTTAATTATTACACAAATAATTTCGCTAATCAATGAATATCCTGTTCCAATCATCGTGCTAACCAAGTCTCAACTAACACTCCTGTTTATGCAAATAAAAATTCAGTTTTGCCCTCAGTTCGATTTTGTCATAAAATTCATCCTCACCCTAGTTAAATGCAGACGTAAATTCCCTAATCCATCATTTGCCCCACTTTCCAATGTCTCGCATTTGTCCAATGTGCGTAAAAATGAATTTCTATCCCAAGCAAAATCCTGACACGATAAATATCATGGATGCGCATCCGGTATACCCTTATCATACCTAAACACCCTCTCAAACACTCACACATAACATACATTATACACATGTATAAAAAAAAACGATATATATAGGTGATGTTAGGGCTGACGTTGTGTTGTGTTGCAGAGGCCGGACTGCTGGGACTTCGATGTGTTCGTACTAACGTTGTGTTGTGTTGTGTTGCAGAGGGTGGACTGCTGGGACTTCGTTGTGTTTGCGCTGGAGTTGTGTTGTGTTGCAGAGGGTGGACTGCTGGGACTTCGTTGTGTTTGCGCTGGCGTTGTGTTGGGTTGCAAGGGTGGACTACTGGGACTTCGATGTGTTTGTACTAACGTGTGTTGGGTTGCAGAGGGTGGACTACTGGGACTTCGATGTGTTTGTACTAACGTGTGTTGTGTTGCAGAGGGTGGAGTGCTGGGACTTCGTTGTGTTTGTACTCACGTTGTGTTGTGTTGCAGAGGGTGGACTGCTGGGACTTCGATGTGTTTGTGCTGCAAGAAACCAGCAACAACACGCCGCTGCGCTGCTTGTCCTACGAGCTACTCAACAGATATGGCCTCCTGCACAAGTTCAAGGTAAAGTTCCATCGTTCTCTTACGTTCAGTCGTCCTCTGACTGAAGAAGTAATGCCGATGACTTGTAGCTTCTGCTGTAGAACTACTGCTTCCTCAACTTTGAAGTTTGTCTTTTTAGCACGTTTTCTCATTTATGGAAAAAATGCACTATTGTGCTTGCAATGTCCGTCCGTCTGTCCGTCCGTCTGTCCGTCCGTCTGTCTGTCCGTCCGTCCGTGACCTCAAGTTTTCGTCGACGAGAAAATGCGCTCTCTGTCACTCACTGCAGTGAGTANGGTTGGCGGACATCGACATACTAGAGACACTAGTTTTCTCCTTGATATCCAAAATATCCTTCCAGAACTGATTGGCGGGCATCGACATACTAGAGACACTAGTTTTCTCCTTGATATCCAAAATATCCTTCCAGAACTGATTGGCGGGCATCGACATACTAGAGACACTAGTTTTCTCCTTGATATCCAAAATATCCTTCCAGAACTGATTGGCGGGCATCGACATACTAGAGACACTAGTTTTCTCCTTGATATCCAAAATATCCTTCCAGAACTGATTGGCGGGCATCGACATACTAGAGACACTAGTTTTCTCCTTGATATCCAAAATATCCTTCCAGAACTGATTGGCGGGCATCGACATACTAGAGACACTAGTTTTCTCCTTGATATCCAAAATATCCTTCCAGAACTGATTGGCGGGCATCGACATACTAGAGACACTAGTTTTCTCCTTGATATCCAAAATATCCTTCCATAACTAGTTGACGGACATCGACCTACTAGAGACGCTAGTTTTCTCCTTGATATCCAAAATATCCTTCCAGAACTGGTTGACTGACATCGAGATCTTGGCCACCCTTGTGGCGGCCATGGTGCACGACTACGAGCACACCGGCACGACCAACAACTTCCACGTCATGTCGGGCTCCGACACGGCGCTGCTCTACAACGACCGCGCCGTCCTAGAAAACCACCACATATCCGCCGCATTCAGGTCAGTGGTGGCGGGGCGTGATGAGGGTGTGGTGAGGCTGTGGTGGGGTGTGGTGCCGGGGTTGTGGTGAGGCTGTGGTGCCGGGGCTGTGGTGAGGCTGTGATGAGGCTGTGGACGGCGCTGCTCTACAACGACCGCGCCGTCCTAGAAAACCATCACATATCCGCTGCATTCAGGTCAGTGGTGGTGACGTGTGATGAGGGTGTGGTGCCGGGGCTGTGGTGGGGCGGTGGTGAGGTGTGGTGAGGCTGTGGTGAGGCTGTGGACGGCGCTGCTCTACAACGACCGCGCCGTCCTAGAAAACCACCACATATCCGCCGCATTCAGGTCAGTGGGAGGGGTGTGATGAGGGTGTGGTGCCGTGGGGTGAGGCTTTGGTGGGGCTGTGGTGGGGCTGTGGTGGGGCTGTGGTGGGGCTGTGGTGAGGCTGTGGTGGGGTGTGATGAGGGTGTGGTGTCGGGGCTATGATGAGGCAGTGATGGGGCGAGGTGCCGGGGATGTGGTGGGGCGTGGTGCCGTGGCTATGGTGAGGCTGTGGCGGGACGTGATGAGGGTGTGGTGCTGAGGCTGTGGTGAGGATATGTTGAGGTGAGGCAAGTCTGTATCAGCTCGTGTCTTGCTTACCTTAAGTCTAACCAGTCGTATCTGCGTTGGTTGGTTCTGTAACAGGTCAAATCTGCATCTTGCGTATTTTTCCACCTGAAAAGTCTGGAGCGTTACACTCTGCTCAGCCGGCTGGTCTTAAAAAAGCGGGACCAATGTTTTCGATGATTTACGCGGCTGTTGGAAATTGTTATACGACTTTGCGTATTTTACTTGACAGAAATTCTAATCTCGCTTCCGCTATCATGGTATCCGTGTCCATAATTGAGCTGTATAGACTAAGATATACTTTATTTAATAAAGACTGTAGTACAGACTACCGACTATGGTAAAAATTTTATACTTAAGTATAAGTATCGTATAGACTACAAGCTAAGTAATAGCAATTAACCTGACTGTCTGCTCTATACCTACAGTTCACTGGTAGCAGTTGTACAGCTCGTATGTAGATACTGAGTGCCGCTCTAAAGATTTATAGAAAATAATATAATATATTTTATATATTATATTATAATATATAAATTACTCGCACTTCTGAGCTTTACTCATGAGTTGTCATATCTCTGCTTTGCCCATAACGTAGTACTGCGTCTAACTTGATAACATATCATTTAATTATTAATTGTGTGTAATGTAACTAATCATTTACAAATAAATTAATGTTATTCAATCGCCTAATTCATGAAATGAAAGAAATTGTCTAAAATCAAATCTGTTACTCGACCCTTTTGCTATAATTCTCCTCAATCGTCATATATACACCCTTTTTAGCGCATTTTCTCATTTATAGAAAAAAGGCGCTATTGTGCTCGCCATGTCCGTCTGTCCGTCCGTTTGTCCGTCAGTCTGTCCGTCCGTCTGTCTGTCCGTCTGTCCGTCCGTCCGCCTATCTGTCTGTCCGTCCATCTGTCTGTCCATCCGTCCGTCCGTCCGTCCGTCTGTCTGTCCGTCCATGACTTTCCGTTTTCGTCGACGAGAAAATGCGCTCTCTAGCTGTCACTCACTGCAGTGAGTCCTGAGTTACATTTTTTATCATATAAGTAATTTTATAGGAAAAAACATATAAAATAAACCTTTGCCCCGCGCAGACTCCTACAAGAGGAAGGGAACAACCTGGTTGTGAACCTGTCACGGGAAGAGTACCGTGAGTTCCGCGGGCTGGTGATAGAGATGGTGCTGGCCACTGACATGTCATCACACTTCCAGCAGATCAAAGCAATGAAGAACATGCTTACCATGTCAGAGAACAGGTTAGTGATGACGCCTGGAGCAGGTTAGTAACAAGTCTATTGCAGGTTACTGAGAAATCATATCGCCGCTTTGTGATAAATAACATGTTAGTGATAAGTATTTATGTATAGAGAAGGTTGCTAATGAAATCTATAAAAGATTAGTGATAGAATATATAAATATATAAATGGTTAAGATGATGGTGACATCTGCAACGGTATATTGATGACATCTTTAGCATTGTAGTACTGCGGCTGATATCATTGCACCTCTGGATACCAGAAATTAGTACTGAGCGGCCAAAGTACATTGTTTGTCATGCTTCAATACATCATGCCCCCAAGAGCCCGCTATATGTTATCCTCATTTATATTGTACTCGCCCCCCCCCCCAACCCTCTCGTATATAATTTGTCATCCATTTGTCATCCATACCCTCGTACTATGTGCTCACCCTCAAATTTCTAATTACACTGTAGGTCGACTCTATACTGTATACATCCCCTCAGTGCACTGTTCGCACTATACACACCTCTGTACAGTGCTGCACTGTACACTGTACACCCCTTAAGTACACTGTTTGCACCAGCAGCCTGGACAAGGCTAAGGCGCTGTCGCTGGTGCTGCACTGTACAGTGTACGCACCTTCTCAGTACACTGTGCACCCCATAAGTCCATAAGTACACTGTACACCCCTTAAGTACACTTTGTTTGCACCAGCAGCCTGGACAAGGCTAAGGCGCTGTCGCTGGTGCTGCACTGCTGCGACATCTCGCACCCCAGCAAGGACTGGGCGGTGCACCAGCGCTGGACGGCCCAGCTGCTCGAGGAGTTCTTCAGGCAGGGCGACCGCGAGCACCAGCTCGGCCTGCCCTACTCCCCCCTCTGCGACCGCAACAATACTCTCGTCGCTGAGAGCCAGATAGGTACTAGTGCTAGTGTTGATCATAGGGGACTAGTGCTAGTGTTGCTCATAGGTACTGGTGCTAGTGTAGCTCATAGGTGACTAGTGCTAGTGTCGTGGTGGGACTTGAGAGTGCTATGTGACACGTTGGTGTTCGCCGAGAGCCAGATAGATACTAGTGCTGGTGTTGCTGATGGATACTAGTGCTAGTGTTGCTCATAAGTACCAGTGCTAGTGTTGCTCATAGGTACTAGTGCTAGTGTCATGGTGGGACTAGAGCGTGTTATGCTACAGGCATGTGGTCGAGAGCCACATAGGTACTAGTGCTAGTGTCGTGGTGGGACGTGTGTCATATGAAACACGCTACTGGCCGTGAGCCAGATAGGTACTAGTGCTAGTGACATGGTTCACTTAGACTTATCAATCTGCAAAATCATTAACATCGGGACTCGTGTTGAATATTTCAATTTTCACCACCATTACTTTGATAGGAAAATATATTTACCACACTCGTATATACTTTTTGAGTTAATATATTCTTTCACTCACAATTTCTATGTTCTTTTACTCAAATTATCATGCATTTTCACACACAATTTCTATCTTCCTTTACTCAAATAATCATGAATTTTTATGCACAATTTCTATGTTTCTTCACCCAAATTATCATGCATTTTCACGCACAATTTTTATCTTCCTTTACTCAAACTATCATGAATTTTTACGCCCAATTTCTATATTCTTTACGCAAATTATCATGCATTTTCACACACTATTTCTATGTTCTTTTACTCAAAATATCATGCATTTTCACGCCCAATTTCTATGTTCCTTTATTCAAATTATCATGCATTTTCACGCACAATTTCTATGTTCCTTCACTCAAATTATCATGCATTTTCAGGCCCAATTTCTATGTTCCTTTATTCAAATTATCATGCATTTTCACACACAATTTCTATGTTCCTTTACTCAAAATATCATGCATTTTCACGCCCAATTTCTATGTTCCTTTACTCAAATTATCATGAATTTCCCGCAAAATTTCTATGTTCCTTTACTCAAATTATCATGCATTTTCACGCACAATTTCATGCATTTTCACGCAAATAATCATGCATTTTCACGCCCAATTTCTAAGTTCCTTTACTCAAATTTAATGCATTTTTACGCACAATTTCATGCATTTTCACGCAAATAATCATACATTTTCACGCACAATTAGCACTAATTTTGCACGTGCGTTGCGCAGGCTTCATCGACTTCATCGTAGAGCCCAGTCTGAGCGTGTGCAGCGACCTGCTGGACAGGGTGGCAACGCTGGCCTCTGGCGCTGCCACCGCCAACACCATCGCTGAGGAGACTGCCATCGGTCTGTAGCTATATTAATAAAAAATATATTATAAAACTGTATGATATATTATTATAAACTACATTATAATAATAGATATATACATATATATATTATTACCATTAGTGCCCCACAGTTCCCTGGGCCCTGATGTCACCCATTAATCCCCCTGCGTGCCCCACAGAGCCCGGTGGCCCCATCCGGCGCCCCATGGTGGGGCGGGAGCTCAGGAGGCCCTGGGTCGCCTGCTTGGCCGCCAACAGGAGCAAGTGGAGGGAACGCGCCAGGGAGGGTGAGGCCTGCCTGTGCCTTGCCTGTGCCTGCTGTATGCCTGTGCCTGATCTGCTGTCTGTGCCTTGCCTGCAGCCTGCCTGTGCCTTGCCTGCTGCCTGCCTGTGCCTTGCCTGCTGCCTGCCCATGCCTTGCCTGATGCCTGCCTGTGCCTTGCCTGCTGCCTGCCTGCGCCTTGCCTATGCCTTGCCTGCTGCCTGCCTGTGTCATGCCTGCTGCCTGCCTGTGCCTGGCCTGCAACCTGCCTGTGCCTGGCCTGCTGCCTGCCTGTGCCTTGCCTGCTGCCTGCCTGTGCCTTTCCTGCTGCCTGCCTGTGCCTTGCCTGTGCCTTGCCTGTGCCTTGCCTACTGCCTGCCTGTGCCCTTCCTGTTGCTTGCCTGCTGCCTGCCTGTGCCTTTCCTGCTGCCTGCCTGTGCCTTGCCTGTGCCTTGCCTGTGCTTTGCCTGCTGCCTGCCTGTGCCTTGCCTGCTGCCTGCCTGTGCCTGGCCTGCTGCCTGCCTGTGCCGTGCCTACTGCCTACCTGTGCCTTGCCTGCTGCCTGCCTGTGCCTTTCCTGCTGCCTGCCTGTGCCCTTCCTGTTGCTTGCCTGCTGCCTGCCTGTGCTTTGCCTGCTGCCTGCCTGTGCCTTGCCTGCTGCCTGCCTGTGCCTTTCCTGCTGCCTGCCTGCTGCCTGCCTGTGCCTTGCCTGTGCCTTGCCTACTGCCTGCCTGTGCCCTTCCTGTTGCTTGCCTGCTGCCTGCCTGTGCCTGGCCTGCTGCCTGCCTGTGCCTTGCCTACTGCCTGCCTGTGCCCTTCCTGTTGCTTGCCTACTGCCTGACTGTGCCTTGCCTGCTGCCTGCCTGTGCTTTGCCTGCTGCCTGCCTGTGCCTTGCCTGCTGCCTGCCTGTGCCTTGCCTGCTGCCTGCCTGTGCCATTCCTGCTGCTTGCCTGCTGCCTGATTAGAGGGTGGCATGGTTGAATGATTAGGTCACAACCAAGCTTTCTGGTTGACTGACTGCTTGATTAGCAGGTGACCTGATTGCATGATCAACTTGTTGCCTCATTATACGATTAACTATTTTCCTGATTACTTAAACTCCTTAATTAATGATTTCTTTAATTCATGGATGCCTGATCAACTTCTAAGTTTATGACCTAAATAATCAACAAATAAGTTACTCAATGAGTCCACGCTTAACAATAAAAATTTATCCTGTGGAAATATATTCATACAAGACCATAAGTTTTACATCTTACGTATTTTAATATTTATGTAATAAAGGCATTCATAGTCTTCATTTTCAATGATTTTTCCGAAGGCTATTTGATGAGCACGTCAGGAAAATCACCCATCGTATTTACGTCGGTTTTTCTTTCTTTTTCTTAAATTATTTCTTAATTTTCTTAATTTCTTTCTTAATTTTAAATTATTATTATAATTATTTTAAATTAAGAGATTAAACTTTTCCAGACGCGGAACTGCGACAGCAGCAACAACAAGGGGAAAGCGATACCAAAATCGACGAAACCAAGTCTGATGAAACAGAAACCGGTGAAACTAGACCCTGCGAAACCAATACAGACGAAACCAAGGCGGGTGAAACTAAAGAAGAGAGACCCTCTCCTCTTCCTTCGTCCCGCCACACTAATGGTGGAACGGCCTAAATTGTTTATTCATATTATATACAAAATATTTAATCAATGTGCGGTAAATTCATATTTTATTTTGTCTCGTGGGACTTTATTCATATTTTACTTTGTCTCGTGGGACTTTTGTTTTAAAGTTTAAAGTTTACGTGCAATTGGAAAATGCATCCAAAAGCCGTACTAATATTCAAATTCATACCAAAGTGCGTCACAAAATGATCGAGCGTGTATGTATGATGTAATCATGTATTAAATATTAAATTATATTAGTAAACCCGTATGAATAATGAATAGATATAATGAGAAACATCCATAATACCCGTATGAACACAATTATATTGTATATTAGTAGGCTGTGTGAGTCTTCAAACCATTATGAATGTCAATACATATTCATTATAAATGTACTTACATTTTAATTATTGTACGTGTTAAATGGTTTCATAATGCATGAGATATATAAACGTAATATATTGTAGCTTATATATATTTTTATCATTCTGAGAAATATAGAACACTTTTCTCATGATATGTAATTGAAGTATATGGATAAATATATAAAATGCATGATAAACACGGAAAAGCTTCTTTCAATGGATAAAAAGGTTCGTGAATTTTTAAAGATTATAAAAGTATATATATAGAAAGATTTCTAAACTAATAACGCTAGTAACGATAGAAAAGTGTGAGATGTATCCTATTTATATGTCATTTCAATATAATATTCCATGTATGAATAATGGCATGAATGACGCGTCACATTGACCCTAACGAAATATATGAATTTGAAACCACGCAAATTTCAATCAGAATTCAGAAGCAAATTTTGCGTAGGGAAAGCAGCATTCCTGGCCGCCGATATTCCTGCCATAATTTCCGCTGCTATTTTAGTATGAATAAAAAATTCTGTTGGTAAATAATTGAAGATGACGTATCTGCGTCATCTTCGTGCTGGAGATGACGTATCTGCGTCATAAACGTGCTGGAGATGACGTATCTGCGTCATAAACGTGCTGGAGATGACGTATCTGCGTCATATACATGCTGGAGATGACGTATCTGCGTCATAAACGTGCTGGAGATGACGTATCTGCGTCATATACATGCTGGAGATGACGTATCTGCGTCGTCTCCGTGCTGGAGATGACTTATCTGCGTCGTCTCCGTGCTGCATATGACGTATCTGCGTCGTCTCCGTGCTGGAGATGACGTATCTGCGTCATATCCGTGCTGGAGATGACGTATCTGCGTCATAGCCGTGCTGGAGATGACGTATCTGCGTCATCTCTGTGCAGTAGATGACGTATCTGCGTCGTCTCCGTGCTGGAGATGACGTATCTGCGTCGTCTTTGTGCTGGAGATGACGTATCTGCGTCATCTCCGTGCTGGAGATGACGTATCTGCGTCATCTCCGTGCTGGAGATGACGTATCTGCGTCATCTCCGTGCTGGAGATGACGTATCTGCGTCATCTCCGTGCTGGAGATGACGTATCTGCGTCATAAACGTGCTGGAGATGACGTATCTGCGTCGTCTCCGTGCTGGAGATGACGTATCTGCGTCATAAACGTGCTGGAGATGACGTATCTGCGTCATCTCTGTGCTGGAGATGTCGTATCTGCGTCGTCTCCGTGCTGGAGATGACGTATCTGCGTCATCTTCGTGCTGGAGATGACGTATCTACGTTATATACGTGCTGGACATGACTTAACCGCAGATCAGGGTTTATCTGTACAATGAGCTTGCAATTTTAGAACAAGTAGTGCGGCGGTAACTAGCGCTAGTGAAGCAGTAACTAGAACTTGGAAATAGTGAGCACCTGTGAGGCAGTAACTAGTGCTTTCAAGGTAGTAATTAGCAGAAAGCAGTTAGTGACAATAGTGACAAAGATGCAGCAGTTACGAGGTAGTAACCTACACGTGTGTCGCAGTGACCAGCACTAGTGAAGGTGTAACTAGCACTAGTGAAGCAGTAAATATCATTAACTAGTATAAACTGTATCAAGAACAATGCGTTCATACGGCTTGGTTTGTATGGATACTTGTCGTAGGTGACAATAAACGATCTACCTAAAGTCAATAAACCTAATTAAATCTAATTTCAATTTGACAATGGATGGTCAAAGCGAACTCATTAATACGTAAAATGTTCGGTTGGCTTTCCAAAAATAATCATGTTTACATAATCCTGATTTTCATTATTTATCATAGTAAAATAAGGACAGGGCTCGTATTTCCAGCCCTCGCGAAACTCAGACTAGGCCTACAGCCGCTAGGCCGCGTCTGAATTATTCTGCAGAGAATTAAGAAGCCCATTACAAATGATAAATTAATATTTTTTTCATTCTGGTTTTGATGGTTCTTAGTCAGGATCAGTCAGTTATCATCGATGTTGTTGATACTTATATATGTATATATATTATACGTATATGTATGTGCATTCGTTATATATTTTCATGACTTACTCTACGGTATTTACTCCTAAGATTTAATTAACAAAGTAAGTGATATTACCGAACATTTACCGTAACGTCGGCGACATTTTCCCCACATGCTAAATTAGTTTATTTTTTCTAATTAATGCAATAAATTCTACGACGCCTAAACCACATAAGTTTTCTACGTGTTAAACTAATGCAGTAAAGTTTACGGAGTTTGAAACTAAATGCAATATGTTAAATTTTTCCTCAAAAATCTCTGTTGTTTAACTGAAATTTCAAACTTCTTAATGAAAACCAACTCAAAAAACACGAACACATCCACACATTAAGTAATATATTCGCAAAAAAAATTAAAACGCATACAGTAGTAATAAATTATTTTTTTTTACTTTTACTACTTTTACTTTTACTTTACTACTTTTAGTAGTAAAGTAGTAGTAGTAAAGTAGTAATATAAATTACTACTAGTAGTAATAAAAGTAGAAAATAGAACATTTAATTTCAGCTCCTAATATTTTTATTTTTTCTAAATCATTAGCAAAATTACGAGGTTTTAGGCACCATATCCATTAAAAAAATTTAAACGATAAATTTTATGTCACGCCTTCCCTTGCCTCCCTTCATGGCCTGAGTCTACAAAGCATTTAATTTTGTTGTATATAAAACCATATTTTTTAATTTAGCGAAGGTAAGGTAATTATTTACCCCAGCCACAAGGCATGTAACACCTATTAGTTACCGAATCCTAAAAAAAAGTTTAGACTTGTTTTTCAGAAACAAATACTGTTCGTATCTCATGTGTTATTAGAGAATTTATTATTTATATCAAGTTTTCAGGTTCCCTGAAAAACGTAAGGCTACTAACTTAACGCTAGTTACCTGAAAATGTTGAGGTAATTAGATTGCGCTAGTTACCCAAATAACTAGAAGTGATTAGTGGAAAATTTAATGGTTTATGAATGTGTCACTGGGTTCAGTAGTGGAAAGTGAGATTTCCTAGAGTTTTGTTGCTTCGAAAAGACTCTAGAGAGACTATATCTAGACAATACTATATATGATTATTAGCACTCTAGTAACATGATAGAAAGATTTTACTATGACTATATCAGACTTTAGTGACACTAATGAAACCATTTCTACTCATGTAGGACTATAGTGCTTTCAGTAGTGCTCTACTGAGTAGAAAGACTACTGAGACTAGTAATAACTAATGTCAGTAACTCGAGACTAACTATCACGCGTTGAGACTAGAGTGACTCTCTAGTAGTACTCTACTGAGACTAGTAGTACTCTAGTGTCCAGTAACACTACTGAGGCTAGTAGTACTCTAGTGACCAGTAAGACTACTAAGACTAGTAGTACTCTAGTGATCGGTAAGACTACTGAGACTAGTAGTACTCTAGTGTCCAGTAAGACTACTGAGGCTAGTAGTACTCTAGTTTCCAGTAACACTACTGAGGCTAGTAGTACTCTAGTGAGATCTTAGTTAAACTCTAGAGCTAATGGACTATCGGGTAAACTAGTATGTTTCATCCAACGCCCCTGGCCGGCTGTAGTGTGGCCCGCATGCAAGGCGACCAGTTTAATGCTATTCTTACCAGAAATATGAATGAGGCTGAAATGGTTCGATACCTAATGCAATTCTTACCAGAAATATGAATGAGGCTGAAATTGTTCAACACCTAATGCAATTCTTACTAGAAATATGAACGAGGCTGAAATGGTTCGATACCTAATGAGATTCTTACCAGAAATATGAATGAGGCTGAAACTGTTCAACACCTAATGTTATTCATACCAGAAATATGAATGAGGATGAAATTGTTCAATACCTAATGTTATTCATACCAGATATATGAATGAAGTTGAAATCGTTCAATACCTAATGTTATTCATACCAGAAATATGAATGAGGCTAAAATGGTTCAATACCTAATGCTATTCTTACCGGAAATATGGATGGGGCTGAAATTGTTCCGTTTTGATACTATTTGATCCATGGTTCATAATTAAGTGATTTTGTTGAGTTTCTAATGCTATTCTTACCACGCGTTTGAATGCAGGAAAATTTTTTTCACATGTGAATACCGTTGTACTTAATCCACCATCTAATACTATTGCTACCTGCTTCTTGAGCCCGCTGGTCGATAATACTCATATGTGTTTTGGCGGCCACATATAACAACTATTAACACGTTGACTACGATTGCTTCATCTTGTACTATTATTTCATTGTTTGTTCATTCATTCTTTGTTTGTTCATTCATTCTTTGTTTGTTCATTCATTCTTTTTTTAAGCAGGGTTGCCAGACGGTCATTTTTTCCGGACAAATTCCGTGATTTAGTTTTTTTCATTTGCGTTGGCTAGCTAAAATTTATGATAGGGGTACTTCCTAATTAAATTTTAAATACTGCAAAAAAATAAATGGAATTTTTATAGCGTAACCTACAAATAAACTAGTATACATTGAATTATCGGCCTCTTTTGGCCTTTTTTGTTCTCGGATTTGGCCGATTTAAGGCAACCTGAATTATGTACCACTACGTCCTGGAGAAATACATTTCGTGGTACGCATATGTACCAATACATAGTCAACGTGTTAAGCACATTCGTCATAATACATCGT